CACGCATGAACAGGGCAAGAGTCCTCTCCCTAGAAAGAAGTGGCAGAGACAACGTGTGATGAACTGACCCCAACCCCCATTCCTATCCCCCTGTGCCGCTGGGGGGGAGTAGGTAGAGAAATCTGGGAGTGAAGTTCAGCCAAGGAAGAAGGGAGGGGTGGGGGGACTGTGTTTTAAGATTTAGCAGTTTTTATCCTCTCCTTCTCTGATTTTGATTGATAATAAATTAATTTTATCAAGTTGAGTCTGTTTTGCCTGTGATGGTAACTGACAAATGATCTCTCCCTGTCCTTATCTCAACCCACTAGCCCTTTGGTCTAGTCTTCTCCCCTCTGTCCGGTTAAAGAGGGGAGAGAGAGAGCACCTTTGGTAGGCCCCTGGCATCCAGCCAAGGTCAAACCACCACAGAATCTCTTATGGGATTCTGAACCCAACAACCATAAGAACCCTTATGGATTCTACAGTAGCTTCTAAGTTTTGCAAGCAGTGTGTGAGTTTAAAACATTGGACCCATCTTCTTCTGAACCAAGATTATCTTTGGCATTTTAGCTTATTCTACATGCAAACACAAATATATAAAGATACTTTTGGTAAGCAATTGGGTTAATGAACTTAGAACAGATATTGTGTATTAGTGACTAACACAAAAAAATACAGAAGTGTACACAGTACACATGCAGTCTTCTCCCTCTCTCTTTCATAGGCCTTTTTTTTAACTAGGCAAGTTGAATTTTAATTTTGATAGCCTTTCCTTAAAATAAGCCTAATCTTCAAAGACATACCATATAAACAAATTTTATACAACTTAGAATTTGCTGAGTCAAGATCAGCAAGGCAAATGATGTGTTTGTATACATGCGCACATACAGTTTTCAGTAACTCATTAGGATTCAATCATTTAAAGTTAGAATTTAACAGCTGCTATCAGTAAAGACGGAGTATTTTACCATAAACTCCTGAAATTCTCAGGATATGCGTTTACCAGTTGAGCAACTCTAGGTGTGTGTTATGGGTCTCTGTTGCTGTGAATTTTGCTTATGTCCTACCAAGGAGGGCAGGACATAAATCTGCCTAAAAATATACCTTTTTGCTCCAGGGGGGCTTGGAATCAAGACACTGGTATAAACAGGAGCGAAAGACCGTAAGGTCATCTTTTTTTTCTTTTTCCCTGACTTCCTCAGGTGGTTATCTCCTGTTAGGGAACAACTATGGGAAAGGACAAAGACCAAAGTTAAAATGTTGAAGTATGCAAAATGAAGACATTGCCAATAAAACTGTTTACTGCATTCACATCACCACACTCCCTCTTCTCCACCTTACATTTAAAAAAATACTTAGATGTATTTTTAAATTGTTAATTATTGCATTTATTATAATTTATTAATTACAAACATGATATTTATGTTTACCATGATATACATTTATTTTAATATGTTTACAGTACTTTATAAATATTTATGTTTACCATGATATATATTTATTATTTATTTTAATATGTTTACAGTACTTTATAAATTAAAAATACAGTATTATTTGTATTTACATACTTACACTGTTACTTATTATTAGCAATTAAGCATTTATGTGAAATCAAATTTGGGGGCAGACAAAAAGCCATGACTGATTTGTTTGAGAACAGATGCTGAGATACTGCTTATATTCCATTACACATGTTTTCTGTTGGTATCATACCAATGGCATCAGTGGGATTATATACACACAAGGACAAAGTTTCAAGATGTGCCTGTAAAATTCTGCTCAATTTTTCCTGGATTAGCATATTGTGGCACAAAACCCAATAAAGATTATGTTGAAAAGATTCACTCCAATTAAAAAGGGTCTTTAGTGCTGGTCAAACCAATGTAACAGAAAACTGAGCACTTTATAGGTTGTGGGCACTGTTTCTTCACTGCCACAAGCCTGTTTGGCCAGTTAGACCTGTACAAAGTGTTTCTAAAATGCTACCAAGCAAGGAAAGGAAATGTTTACAGCTGCTTTTTCCAAATGTAAGTAGCTACCTGCACCTGGTGTCAGACAACAGAAGCATTTTGGGGGTGTCAATATTCTATTGCCTACTATAGAATAGCAAATAATTGGAACAAGGGTTGATACATATTTTCTAAAGCAAAGCAGCAACTGTAAATAGTACATACACCACACTGGTACATGCATCTCAGCACTATATTTAGAGATCAACATGTCTACTTTCTTCAGCCAATTAAGAAATTAATAAACACGCATATTGTTCTGTCTAACAAAGGAGATATCCAACAAAGATGTTCCTGCTCTCCCAAAAGAAATGTCTTACACAAAACCTCAAGAAGCGGTCATCTTCATTTAGATAATCTTAGATAAATTGTAACTGCAAATTTGTACTCATTAGAGATGATCGGTCACATGAATTCCACAGACTTTGTTGTTCAAAACAACATGTCTATCTTGCGCATCCTCAAATCACACTTCCAGTTTTCTCTTCTCTATAGTCCTAATGAACAGAAGAATGCCAGAATAGGCACTGGGACCACTGTATACACATTGAAGTGTTTGACAGAGTCCATATTCCTACTAATGAGGGATAACTAAACTTTACTTCTACTTTGTCTACTCTTACGATGAAAAGCTGTTACCAAGTTTAGAGTGTAGATACATTTAAAATATTTGATAACAAATGCTAGAACTTATGTAACAGCAGTAAAAAAGTCCCAGTAGAGGCTTAATATTTGCTGTAGTCTTACAGGGGAAAAAAAGAAAGGAGGGTGGGAAGGGCCTACAATCCATCACCAGAATCTGTGCCATGCCAACAGTTTCAGCCACTATGAAAGACTGAAGCCAGACATCATCTGTTAAAAAGACACTTTGTGCCCCAGCAGTTTATCACTACTTCAGAGCTTTTCTTATTCCATGGAGTTCCTAGTTTTTGAAGTCGGCACTGTGAAAGCTAGGAGTGAAGTAAGTCTCCACAACAGATAATGATCTGTATTTTGCATCTGGGCTTTTTTTTTTTTTTTCCCCTCCTTTTAAACTGTTTACCACTGCAGACAAGCATATGTAGAACAGCACCATCACTGGAACTAACACGCACTGGCAATGCTGCTGCATGTGTGTAAATCACCCGGGACAGTTTGAATGAGTAAAGGCACACCTGTCAGAGCCATGCATTCATTGTTTCATATGTGTTTGTGTACTTCTGTCCCACCCAACACACCCTGGACTTGAGAAAATTCTCCATAAGACACTAATTTTGACATCTGATCCTAAGTCTAATGATTTCCCTCTCAAAAACATTGGCAGATCTTAGAGGTCCTTCCTCTAAAAATGAAGTCAATCTCTCAATGAATATTAGTTTTAAGCAACATATTGAAAATATTAAAGGATAACAGGTTTACACTAGGAACTTTTGTTAGGGTAGATTTTTAGGTTAGTTGTAAGATCTTTTCAATAATTTTTTACAACTGGCAAAAACCCTGGTGCTGATGTAGGATTAAAGTGGCTTTTTCAGCCACAAGCCTGGTATACTCTGCAGCACTAAAAGCTTTTTTACTGCTAGGAGAAGCCATACCTAAATGAAGATAATTTTGCCTATGCAGGTATACCATCATAAAGGAAAAAGGAACGTTAAATCTTTTTAGGTCAGCCTTGCTGAAGAAAGAAGCCTTTCCTTACAGAAGAAAATAAATTACTTCAATAATCTGAATGGTCACAATAATAAAGGCAATGGTATTTTTCATATGGGTAATAAATTATTTGTCTGCAATAAATGTGGATTAGCTGAGTTATGGGTAGATAGAACAGTTACATATCAAGAAGAATAATAAGCACAGGGTTTACAAAAAGCTTTTAGGGAGGTTCTTATGTATTCAATTTTTTTTTTTTTAAATTAATCTTGTTTACCTGAAATGTTCATGTGGCCTTCATTAACCTAGGATCAAAGTGCTTCACAGTGCCATTTAAGTAATACAGCTGTAGGTGACTTTAAGTAAGGAGAAAGTTTTAGATGACGCAGACATTAGAGGCTAAGATTCCAAAAAACTTTGACTAATACGTTATACCATTTCTCCTGCCATAACACTATCAGTAACACTGTTCTTTTCCCACCTTCTTTAGATATTCAGTTAGTGACCATTCAGAATGCTGGATATTAAATATTACTCTAGTAAATATGATACTTCTCCGTTCAGAATCTCTCAGCCTCTCTGTGCTACTTGTTTGGTTTTTTGGTTTAGATTTCATACTAACAAGAAAGATTCTATTTCTTGTTTTTTTAATAATGGCTATATGTGTTTGTTGTCCTACTGACATGACTAGGGCATGATTGCATCTCGGATGACTCTGGAGACTGAGCGTTCCAAGTTGAGAGTCAGTTCGTGGAAGAAAGGTGAATGAGAGGAAGCTGGTATCTGGGAGTGACAAAAGCCACAACAAACCGATGAGAAAAGATTTCTAGAGATGGCTAAGCTTTTGATGCAGTAAGGCTCCA